GAAAAAAATTCAGAATTAATGCCAACCAACATGAAAGTTACGAAGTTCCCCTTAGCGTTAAAAAGGTTCTCCCACGTAACTTTAGCTAAGACCTTAAAAATCATAGTCGCGTTGGAATCAAATTGAACCGAAAGCATGCTATTTGCACTAGTCTATAGTTGTTCAGGCTCTTTTTGCAATTGACCCGTAGCTCACTCATAAGTACCGTTAATTTACTTACCTTTTTTGTCTACAGAGTCAAGACAATCGTTGATGCACAGAGTTTTAGAGCACGTTCAGAAACTATTGATTTAATTGTACGATAGGTCTCACGTATTCCCCTATTTTTACACGTTGCAAAGAAAACCTACGAATTATGAAAAAAAATGGCTACAGACCCATGACGATGGAGCGAAGCTAGGCCTTAAAGTACATAATGTCTACGTTGAAGACGCCTCCTAGTATAAAGAACGAACGGACGGACAGATGGATGGACGGATGGATGGACAGACACATGGGCGGACAGATGAACCGATGCATAGATAGTCGGACAGACAGATTTACGGACGGACGGATGAAGGGATAGGTGGAGGGACAGATGTACGGTCTATTTATAGGTGGAGGGACAGATGTACGGTCTATTTTTAAACGATATGCGCGCTCTACGCTCTATGTACGGCATGTGTAACACTTGTGTTTCGGTCTGACAGGAAGCTACGACGACGACGGTGACAACAGACATCATGAGAGAGCTTCGGTCCTAAAAAATCACATGGAGGAGTGCTTCAGCACCGCTTTCATGCTGCTCTCAAGTAGAAATCCGTGAACCCGCTCGCCTAAAAGAGTCAAAGCAAAAACCCGTCACCTGAGGTATACGACAGTCGCCTTTACAAACCACTAAGCCAACCAAAACCAGCTTTCCAATGCGACCACTACCGTCATCACCACATGCTATTACTATGATAGAGGACCTGCTGGCCAATAAGTCCCTGAGGGTGCTTTACCGCAACAATCTGTCTGTACTGTCGCATTTAACTTTCTCTACCGATTACTCAATTAGGCCAAAATGCGATATGCGTACATTAAACTTCTAATCAGTACGCTTCTGAAACCAGAAAATTGGATTCGATACCGGATACGGATGCCGCAATTTGATGAATACTAAAATACAGAAACGATCGTGTACTTAGATTTAAGAGCCCCACGTGGTCAAAGTTATTCTGATGTCCCCCACTACGACGAGACTCCTAATTATATGATTTTCACGTGTGAAGTAGAACTTCATTTATTTAAGGTCCCCATCTTTCTATCTCTCTCTCTGTCAAGTCGTAGTCCTCATACTGTGCCTGCTGCTGCCTGCTGTGGCGTTGCGTCCTATTGAACGTGAGTTTCTGTCAGCAGTGCACATATATGTGCGTCGAAGTCCACGTGACATCATTACATCCATCTAAATCGCATTGTGCTTCCGCTCTGCCACTGCACGCAGTTTCTCTTTCTCTCTCTCTCTCTCTCTGCGTATGCATGGCAATTCCTTACTCACTAAACTCCACGCCCTTTAGGACTTAATTTTCCTTTTTGAGGAGCAAGCTGCCTTCTCTGCGTCCATGGCTGTGTCTGCAGCTAAAACGTTGGAAGGTAAAATACATTATTCAGCTACCAATTGGTCCATCAAGAATGGCATCCAGCCCGCGTGAGACTCGTGCAGTTTGGGATCCAAGATCGTCTGACTACTTTACAGCAAATTAGGGTGATGAAACCGCATCTCTTTGCTTGCTTCTATTCTGTACTTTAGATGTCGTTGTACAGTAAGCATACCACTGTTTATTGTCCTCGTTAGAGCACATGTTTTGAATGTACTAACGTTAAAAATCATAAAATAATATAGAAGCATTCAATTACACAGTGTGCATCAAGCACGTACTCTTCCCTAATGTCGATGCTACAATTATCTCCACTGCTCCTTATATTTTCGGCATTGTAGATTTCAACGATGACCGAATGTTGTCTCAAGACCTATAACACAAATAACCAGCTTTTTCATGCAATTTCAATACGGTAAATCAGCCGCTAAAAACAAAGCATCTTTTTTTTCAGAATGAGGAATTTTTACGTAGAAACGAGGAGTAACCACTGAACCGATTGACGGGAGCAGCTGGAGGTTCCCCGCGCAACAAACCGCAAGCCAGCGGTGCCTTTATATAAGGTGCTTGCGAAGCCCCTGCGCGGTTCTCCCATGGACGCAGGAGAACAAGCTGTGTTCTGTATATCTTATACGTCTGCCCATGTTTGCTTTCTTTCATTCTTCTTTCTTTTCTTTTTACTTTACCGCTCTCCTTACTGTCTCGTAGTGCTGTTTGCGCCCCGCCAACGGCGACCACTGATTGGACCGTGGATGGAAGCCGCGGTTGATGCCTCATTAGTAGAGAGAGCGTGATCTCAAGGCAGGCCAAGACTGACGATCCCTGCTTTGCATCCCACTCATTAGCACCTGTGCACCCTTCTGCCTCTTTATTCGTGGTCCCTCCTCCTCCGCTCCCGCAGAACGCGGGAGCGTGATGGAAGAATAGTTTATAGCTCAGGGCCGAGGCCTGCGCCTGCAGGTCTTCTGCTCTACTGATTTCAAGCTTTGCTACTTTTTTTCTTCTTTTCTTTTTTCTCTGCCTCAAAGGGGCCAGTTCAATACTTTCGCATCGGCGCTTGGTTACCAAATCGATTTTATAATGCCCGTTGCCTAGACGGGAAAAGATGCGGCACAGCTGCTTTCTTGGTTATGATTGAAGCGGAAAATTTTGAAAACCCATAAGCTTCGCCTTTAGGAGTGAAACACCATCGCGATATTCTGTTCCTTGTGCGTACATCAAACACTTACTCTATGAAATGTTTTCGAACTTCGTATGCACCCACTACATGGCCTTAAGGGTGGAGTAGAGTGGGCGTCTTTTGTAGTCGGTGACTGACTTTAAACTATGAAGTCATCGTAATTTCATGTTCTGACGCCTGATGGCAGTGTATGCTTGTCCCACGCATTATTACAGCAGTATTTTATGTTGTATTGTGAAACATGTACTCAGAACGCGTGTGTTTCTAAAGCATTAAAGTTACTTTTGCTGCATTTCCAAGCAGAGGAAGTTATTTTCACTGTATTCACAAACAGAGGCGTGGCTGTGCGGTGTAGAACACCCGATTGCCACGAAAACGACGCGAATTCGATTTCCACAAAGAGGCGGAATAATTATTTATTTATTTTCTTTGCATCTTTCTCAATTTTTCGGTCACTCAAAGATGCCCGATTTTTTGGTCGTGTTAACATAATTTTTCCCTCCCAACCGCCAGCGCCTAAATTTCTGCGAAATGAGCTCTTCGACGCTATCACGTTAAAAAAAGAGCACATGAGCATATATACAGTATAAGCGCCTTCGGCATCACTCACGAGAAATGATAAAGTGTGGACAGCGCTACAAGCTTAAGAAAGCTTGGGGAAAAAAAGGAGGGCGCTATTTAGAGCGTCTTTATGCCAAGCAACGATAATCCTGACCTATCTAGCGTGTTTTCCTTGCTTTATCGACGTACGAGCGGTGGGAGAGTATCGGCGCGGCATATAACTACAGTATTGATAAGAAAGTAGCGAGAAAGGAAACAAGAGCAAACCAAATGACTGTTATTGTTGAGGAGAAGGAGGAATAAACTATTATAAGAAACCAGCAGGTTTAGGTGGCCGTACCTAAGCCTCCCATGAGGGGACGTCAAGGGCTTGCCTCGACGCCGCCTCAGGGGTATACGAATACTGCCAAAATGCTCCCGCTTGCCTTATAGTGTTACTTGCTACAGTGTTGTGTTAGTTTTGCTTCGATCAGCACTGGGATTAGAGTCGCGCTTCGTGTGCTCGGGTGGTGTTTGTTAACTGGTTAACACCAGTGGTCTGGGTTGCGTTGGTCACGAGAGCCGTTTCGTGATTTCTTGCAACCGTGATGCCCATCGTTTGACGCGATGGTCTGGATATTCTCATGTTTGTTACAGCAGGTGGTATCATATAGGCATTTTTTTTGTATTGGGTATGAGGGCTGGCCAAATAACGTCGAGTGCAATGGTTAAGTCACTGTATATATATTCAAGCAGTCATTGCAAAACAACTAACAACCAAACTAGTCGTTTAACCTAAATTCCTTCTTTGCATATATATATATATATATATATATATATATATATATATATATATATATATATATATATACGTTAAAGTTTCTGATAGGTCAAAATTAATCTCTTCTATGGTGCACTTAGTAATGAGATCGTATATAATATATAGTTCACACTGAAAACCTCTGCAATCAACCTCAACCTTTTTGTACGCCTCCCCCCCCCCCTTTCTTTTCTTTCGGCATCAGTAGAAATTTATTCAAGTTTACTTAGGTAAAGCCTCTCTCTGCAACTTCTTGCTTAGTATCAAGTGAGAATATTCGAAGTCCGGGATCACTGAGATGTAACGAAGCTTTTTCTGGGACAGTTTATCTTTCAACACTGAGGCACAGCACGTCAACAGGGCGAAGCACCAATTTGATTCATGTAGTCTTGGGGCCACCGCGGAGGCGAAGTGGTTATAGAGCGGTCGGCTATTGACCCGATATACTCGGGTTCGATTGCGGCCGAAGCAGTCGCGTTTAGATCATGTCAGAACACTATCGAGGTCGTCTACTGTGTGATATCAGGGCACGTTAAAGAAACCCAGGGGGTCGAAATCGTATGGAGCCAAACACTAAGGCAACTCTCATATAGGCCATCTCTCAAAGGTCACTTTAAAACGTTAAGCCCAATAAACCAACTAACTATAGACATTTTGGTACTCTCTGTCTACGTATTTTCTTTGTTATTATCCTATTAAACTTCACATACACAAGCGCTTCGGCCACATTCTCAAAAATGTTAATAAATATCATACAAAATACTGTGATAATTTGGTGCAAGCACCTTTCGCACGCTAACGTCAGTTACACAATTCTCGGAAATTGCAGTGGAGTACTTACACACCAAGTAATACTGCACAGAGCTGTTGTACGAATTTGCCTCGGAGGTTTCGAGCATGGAGGGTAATCTGCAGAAACGTGCGAGGTATGCTTAGAAAACGCCAAATAGTATTTTGGTATCACTAATAATAGAGATAATTGCAATACTTTTGAAAGTTAGGCTCGTTGGTACGGATGCATTTTTGATTACAGCGCGAAAACAATGAAGACGAAAGACAGAAGGGGCACAAAACGAGCGCTGACTCGCCGATTGTCCTTGAGGAAATGCACTTGTGGTCACAATTCAGAGTTCAAAACACGGCAAGCCTCCGACTTGGGGCGAGAAGTGTGTTTTCTCAAGGACAAGTTGTGAGTCCGCGCGCATTTTGTGCCCCTTCTGTCTTCAGTCTTAGTGATAATTGTCTTGAAGAGTTCGATGCTTTTCATGCGAAAATTTTATCAGTCAACCATTGGTTCAGAACGTATAACGTGAATTCTGTACTTGCATGTCTCTATTTGTATGTATGTGCTTGTGACAGTACAGATTATTTGTGTATGTGATCATTGTATGTATCATCACCACTACACACCTGGAGTAGCATGCCAGGCGATACCAGCTAAACATCTCCGAGAATTTTATTGGAGGTTGATCTTTCTCTCCATATTTGCTTATAGCGAGCATATAAAATAGAAACGGACAGTGCGCTCTGTCGAAGGATGCCTTGTATGACTGTGTAATCACTTGAGAAGGCGTCAGATCATAGCCTATAGGGTGTGTATTCAAGCCAGTTCTGCGTCAATTTCTTTGTCTACGCAGTCAATCGGCACAGATATAATAATAAATATATTATTATTATTATTATATTATTATTATTATTATTATTATTATTATTATTATTATTATTATTATTATTATTATTATTATTATTATTATTATTATTATTATTATTATATACTTGTAGGCCCGTGTGCTCAGATTTGGGTGCACGTTAAAGAACCCCAGGTGGTCTAAATTTCCGGAGCCCCCCACTACGGCGTCTCTCATAATCATATAGTGGTTTTGGGACGTTAAACCCCACATATCAATCAATTATTATATACGGTCCAATCAAACCAGTCACACTGTGGCATCAACACCCAAACGAAGTCATGGTGCCTTATAGAAGCAACGCGTCTTTCGATTTCTTTTCGGGTCTCAGTATACTCGAAAAGTGTGTATTTTGCAAAGCAAAGCGGCTGAGGCCTGCTAGTTTGTGCCTAAAGACAGCTTGCACAGTCAGTTACGTTGTGAGGGTAGTTCGCAAGTTTCAATGAATCTCTCGGGAGCGAGTCAGCCTGATGTATGCGACAATGACATCACCGTAGAGGCATTCTTTCAGAAGGTTTAGGATTGCGACTGTTTCTCACGTGTCCTCCGCAAGCAGGGGCGCCAAGGCAAACGGAGCGCCGCAGTGCGTGCTTTATTGATGCGTGCTATTGCATGCATGCCGTACGCATGACGCAGAACAGCGCCTGCGAAGTGCGACCGGGGGCAGACTTCGGGAGTGAGAGAAAGCAGAAGGGGGAACGAAAGGACCAACACAGCATGTATGCTCTGTATGCGGCGCTTCAACTGCGTCGATTACATCACCACGCTGTACCATGCAGAGCGCGCAGTGGGACGCAGTTCCAGCAGCCCTAATCAGTCTACCGGTGTCATCTGCGCCTCCCCTTCCCCTCTCTAGACTCCACCTCCACGAGTGGCTTCCAGAGGGGTGTTCGAACGTCCCGATTTGCAACGCCTGAAAAGGGGGCGAGCATCCCTCCTGCCCTCGTCTTTATTTCGGGTGCTGGTCCCCGTTGGGACAACGGAGGAATTCCCCAAACGGGACCTCATCGCCCGACTCCCATTTCGAGAGGGGAAATGCTTTCGAAAGGACCCGGTTGGAACTCGGACCGTTAAAGGTCGTCCTCGCAGGCGGGCAGGCGCTGTGCTGTGCCCCGCCATGGCCGTTTCCCAGACCACGTTCTTAGCTCGAGAAGCGCAAAACTGCGGACTGCGTGTGCGTGCGTGAGCTCGAGGAATCCCTCAGCTCGTCGATGTTGCTGGTGGGACCCTTCAGTGCGGACTGGTAGCGGCTGGATGAATTATGAATGCTCATTTCGTCACCGGAATGCAGGTCCTGGAAACTCACGCTCCATGCATGGAGGAGGAGTGAGATTTACCTTTTTTATGTCCTCTTTCCCGTGAACTACTATCATCTTTCCCCATGGTACACCCCCCACCCCCTCCTCCAACCACCGTTTCACTCTTTCTGTGGCCCGCTCGGGTAAAAATCGCGTGCTGCACGCGAAATGCGCTTGCTGGGTGACTTCAGCGCATCTGGGGACGTCGCAGGACATTAGAGGTTCGTTTTATTGTCCGTAGGTTCGTGCTGTTGATCTTTTTCGTGCGTTCTATTTTTTACTTCAGGCGTTCACAATTACTTGCACTCATCGTTAAATTCTTCGTCGTGAATGCTTTTTTTTTCTCTGTATTTTCTCTTTGTTAACAGTCCCCAGAGGCCAGGGCCCGCGGCGTTGGCAGAAAAAGTTCACAGCAGTGGGTCACTGCAGACTGATGAGGCTTGCCTTGATGGATGCTCATGGAAACTCGACAGATCTCCACGAACCTTCATTGTGTTTTATTTTACTCTATCAATGCACCAGCTCATCGTCACGAAATGATATTCTTTTCCTGAAATTTCTACTTTGCTCCCCGATTCCTGCAAGGTCTAAAAAACTCTTAAAAGTATTATTCATAAGCAGTGAAGCCTCTCAAATAACTTGGCGACAGTGTCATTATGAGCAGCTGTCATTTTGTCAAACATGGCCCTGTCAACGCGGAGGTGTTCGTTTCACGTGATTAGCGAGCTCACATTACTCATGTTACTGGCTTGGTTAGTGTAGTCTATAAAGACTGTGACAAGAAAAAAAAACTGGCTTCTAGAGCATCCCCTTTGTAGGTGATACTCTTACAATAAGGCAAATTTTCAATGAACGTAGAAACTTACAAAGCCACTCCCCCTTCCAGCTGATTTGGCTTTATTGCTCCATTGACATTTGCGGCAAAAGAGAAGTCAGGCCGTTTTTTGGGCGGGAGGGGGGGCTAAAACTATTACTTTAATTCGATCTATAACATATGTAACATAATGTAAACATAAATTTCTCGCAAACATTAAATGAGACGCAGAGGAAAAAAGAATGGTGGCTTACAATAACAGTAAAAACTTACCCGCCAGCTCACTCAACACTATAGCAGGTAAAATAAAATGGCTCACTTTTTCCTCCAGTGAGGATACAACTCAATAGCGCAAGGCTGGATTTGACGAATAATTCTAAAGGAACTGCATTAGCGTCTTGAATTAGGCTGCTTGGCACATACTGACTTTGAATGAAGAAACGTCCACTCGTCTCCATCCTGTTCTAGCGCTGTTCCTTCATCCAAAGGTACTGCGTAAGTAATTGCTATCCACTACTATATATGCGGTGATCGACCCGGTTCAACGAGTTGTAGCTCTACTTGTACCACGATACTCCCGACACATGAGTTATCGACCGCTCCTAATGGCCATTAGAGCGCGAAACGTTCAGCATTGTCCTTAATATGTAACCCACTGGCGACTCCTCCCTGTTAAGCAACCAGCGGTTTTGTAATATCTAATGAAGCCGTTCATTTTGCCAAAAGTTTCCAGGGGCAGACGTAAGAACTTGGCGGGCACGCAAAATTTCATCTACGGCTGCGCACCTGCAACTGCAGGATTACGTGCCCACAACGTTCGTCCCCAGGCATCAAGTCTGCCAGGACGAAGCCCTCGCTATGAAAGTACGAAAGATGTGGATTGCTCGTTTCTTTGTTATACACAACTAATGAAATCAAAACAATACTAAGCCAAGGGAAAGATACATGATGTGATTTGTTGTTTCTGTAACTGTAATGTAATGATTCTAGGCTACAGAACTGCATTAAAGTGTACGAAGAAAGCTTCCTTCCCGTGGGAGAAATGCGAACCAATAAACTTCGAATTACGCGTCCGATGCTCTACCAATGTTCATAGACGTACACGATGATTCAAGTAATTCATCGGTGCTTTAATATACAGCCTAGCTACGCCCCCATCCCAACCACCAGCTCGGCTTCCACTGCAGTTTATTGCACCCACAGCCGCTTTTTATTGAACTTTATGCAGGTGTCAAGGCTGCCTTGGTGTTGCATTGCTGCTGCCCGAATTTCCGCCACCCTGAAGCTCTTTTCATCAAGTTGCCGTTTGGGCGAACTGTAGTGATTAACAAAGAAAACTATTCCCCTAAATAGTCCAAGCGAGAGACATCCAACGAACGGTTGTTGAAATAAAGCTTCTGGCTTCGCGGAATTCGATTGATGCATTAGTCTATAACTTCTAAGCAAAATGTTTCTCCTCTTCTGATCAACTGTATTCGTATAGTGTAACAGTACAGAAGTGGATATAAAAACAAACGTCTCTAGCAATATTTCTAAATTACCCCCTCATTTCTTTGACAACGCCACTCGCTGCCGAAGATTAATAGGTAGCATGAAGGCGGGGGGAGGGGGGGGCTCGATTGTATTCTACGGGGCACTGTCCTGCAAGAACGGAGCGTTTCGGGCAGTATACGTCAAAGGCGAGTGACCAACGAGTCACTCACAATATTCCTTTTATTTTTGTCTTCCTGTTTTGCGCAGAAACTGATGCTGAAGGAAAAAAAAGGATGTATAGGTGGCTCTTGGACGTCTGGAAATGTGTTGTACGTCGTACAGTGTAATGATCAGCGCATCCGTCGCAGTTTCCGGATTCTGGAAAAGAAATGGAGGCGGCAAAGAGGGCGGAAAAAAATAAAAATAACGAGACAGTGCATCTTCACCATTACGTCTGCCACCGACGAGTGGTTGCCGCAGGCTTTTCGCACTCGAGCGGGGGGGGGGGGGGGGAAGAATGAACAAGACCAGGGTAAAGATTAGGAAACAAAAAATATATAGGAGAAAGAGGCAAGAAACTGTTGGAGAATGCACTCCTGCTGTCGACAAAAGAGTCGGCTCTCGGAACATGGCGCA